GTAGCCGCACCCTGGGACCCACATTGGACTTAGAAAATTCTTCCGCTCCCCCATTCACTTTGCGTTGCAGGACGCACAAGGCCCACTTCGTATCCCCGTGTCCTCGTAGCTGCTCCTCACGACCCACATTGGACTTAGAAAAATTTTAGTCTTCCCAGAGTGAGTTGTATGTAGGCCGACATGTAATTCAAGTGAGTGCCTCATTCTCAAGAATGACGTCAGTACTATACACAACACATACCTTGAGGCTTGACGCAGCAGGGATAGCTGGAAGTCGAATAACCTCCACTCGACTACATAGCCATGGATTTTTAGGGGGGGTGTTTTTGTGTGGCGGAATATTCTGCAATTACTCCAGGATTCTTAATGAGCCCATTTATTTTGCCTAAAACTGTACTTTCTCAATCAAATCTCCCCCCCCCAAAGCATCCACAGTATAGGCCTATTACCAGTGTAAAACGACCCACATTCACCAATATCAGTAAAGAGGAAACAATGAGAAGCAGTTACAGTTGTAGAGGTGGGAGGAAAACCCCAAAGGAATAGTCTGGGTAAAACAGGAAGGGACTGAAAACCCAATCCACATGTGGACCGGGCCGGGAATCGAACCCGGGACCACAAAGGTGGAAGGTGAGGAAAGAACTGCTTTGCCAACCCAACTCCCCAATGATACGGGAATGCAATGATACGGGAAACGTGGTACTTTAGTTGGCACAATTCTGAGAGTAGCCCTCTGGTTCTTGGCCTACTCAATCCATGCATGATCCACGTCAGCCTGGGCAGGATTCACACCTACTGTAGGTCATAGACGTAGTGTTAGTAGGCCCTAGAAGGTATGAAATTCACCACTGCATCAATGTAACTCTCCTGTACCTTTTCACCATCCATTGGCATTTGCTTTTTCCTGTTTCTCTGAAATCTACAGGGTTTGCTGAGTATTTTACGAGGTCTTAAGACTAAACATGAAGAGGAGTTAAGGGTCCTTCTTCTCGGTCTGGACAATGCTGGTAAGACCACCATACTGAAGAAACTTGCCTCTGAAGACATCAGTCACATCAACCCAACTCAAGGCTTCAACGTCAAGAGCGTCAAGACTGGGAATTGGCAACTAAACGTTTGGGACATTGGGGGTGAGTAGACTAAAATTAAATCATCCCTTTTTGAGGACAAGGGCCTGTCCTAAATCTATGAAAATCTATCACTTGGTTTGACAGAATTTCAATGGCTTCAGGACGAATGCTGAGCAAAACTGCAAATAGAAAGTGATGGGATCCTGGAAATATTGTTCAGTTTTGTTCAAGGAATATTCGTGCCAATGAAACTTTGCAGAGTGATGTGTACTTGGCTTTGGTAAGATTCAAACCTTGGTACTACATTTAGAAGACAAGGGAAGCACCATGGCCCCTGTCAGATTCAAAGTTGGGTCACGGAGACCATTGCTTGCTCAAACCTGTCCACTGTAAGTATCTCTGATGCTTGAATTCTGACAGGTCAGCAGAAGATCCGACCATATTGGGCTAACTATTTTGAGAACACATCCATTCTTATCTATGTCGTTGACAGCGCCGATCAAGTACGACTGGAAGAGACTTCATTGGTGAGTGCTGGTTTGGTTTACCACAGAGAGATTATCACTTATGACACATAGATTGTTTGGCACCAGACTCCACATGCAGACATTTAACTGTTATTTCAGGAACACAGTGTTTTTGCATTTTCTGCTAGAATGAAAATGTCAGGCCCTGTAACTTTTGAGATGGGATGATACGATTTGGTAAAGTAAAAACATCGGTTTCAGCAAAACAAAAAGGAAATTTTTCCATTGCTCTCCAGTTGATGAGTCCAAGTATTTTACTGCATGCTACGTTTGTATAGCTGCAACCTTCTATAGTCAAACCTTGTTGATAAGAACACTGCTAATACAGCATTCAGCTCAAACAATAGCATTTTTAGGTCCCAATCCCTTTTTGTTCTTTATGGTTTTTATTCCCAATATTACAAAGTTCCTGTTATAAGAAGGTAATCAGCAGTGTCTGAAGGACCTCTTATTAACGAGGTTTGACTCGACTAGCCCTGACCTTTGTCATCTTGATTTTTGTGTGGCAGGAATTGACCTCCTTACTGTCAGAGGAAAAGTTGGCTCAAGTACCTGTCTTGGTATATGCAAATAAGCAAGACCTTGCCATGGCACTTCCAGCCAGTGACATATCTATGGCGATGGACCTGACCAAGATCAGAGACAGAGCATGGCAGATTCAAGCTTGTTCGGCAGTTACAGGAGAAGGTCTCAAGGTCTGGAAATGTGGTTTTTTTAATGTGTATGAAACAACCACAAAAAGTACTTCCCCAAAAATTTTCCTAAAAATGGGCATACATTCTTATTGTAACAAAATGAGCAGTAGAATATGCTAGTTGAATAAAGGCATCTTTCACTCTCAAAAACTATAAAATTGTTAGGATAATATCAATATTCCAATTGGAGATCCTATGAGAATGCCAAATATGTGTGCATATTGTCTTCAAGAAATAAAAATCCGCTACAAATTGCTGGCTGACTGGACAGGCATGGAGATTATTAATTTTGAAATGGTAGAGGGGTCCAATGTGTTGATCCCCAGTCTAATCTGTCTTTGAGGTAAAAAGGAGAGAACACTTAGACTAAGGTTTCAACATCTGGTTCTTAAACGTATTTTGATTAAAACATCAGCCATTGAAGGTTGAAATGTCATGTGTCACCTGCTGAAGAAGAATACATAACCATCTGGCTTCAATTAATTAAGCAAGCCCAATTGACCCTCATGTCATGACAGCGTGATATGCTTTGGTGTCCTGCTTTAATGTTCCAAATTCTTTGCTTTGCAGGATGGCCTTGGTTGGGTCTTTTCAAACGTCGGATCATCAAAGAAAGGATCAAAGAAATAATCCAGTAGAAAAATGAAGCGTACTTTGTAACTCATCAGTTTCTAGACAATCTTGGTCCACTTCACCCAATGCTTGTACTCAGGAGGTGGAGCCACTTTTGTCAACTTGAGCTCAGCACTTGGAGATGTCTACTGGGTAAGTTGGATTACACTGTGGGTGAATGGTACCCAGTGTCATTATTGGATTCATAGTGATTGCTGTCAGTCGTGGAACACTCACTTATTTTCTAATGTGAGTCACAGACGGGTTGGTATGATGGCAATCATCCTTTCCTTTGAATCAATCTGACAAAGAGTATACATGTATCTGCTAATTTTTATTTTATTTTTTTTTTCATGAACTGATTTTTTGCAATCAATGTTGTCGGTATATGCAGTCATATGGTACTTTAAAACATCCGTCGTATTCAAAACAGCCATTTGTAATTTCAGAAAGTGTGAATAACGAACCCAAGTATATTGGGTAAAATAATTTGTTGAGAGGTGTTTTTAGGGGTAGCCAATCGACGTGTGAGGTAACAATAAATGTTAAAGACATTGGCTTTGAAATTGATGGTCTGAAAGGGAAGGTTGCTAAAAAAAATCCCAGGCAAGAGATCTGTCTCCCTGATCGTACAAAATACTAAGATACCAAAGAGGGTTTACGTCTACTGTCGGATGCTTGGACTTAGTCTAAAAGTCAGCTTACTGGAATTGGCTTCATTTCAATCAGTGAAGCAATCATGGTTCATGTAGTTCATTCTGTGAATTGACCTCTGTCCCTCAACTTAAGCCGTGTCATTATTTATTCATTATGATTGACTGTATACGTCCAGTTTACTGCCAGCGTGCCATATTTCCCTTCATTCCACCTTTAAAAAACATGAGTCGTCTTGAGTAAAATTTGTACATCTAAAAAGTGGTGGAGAGTTCGAATAAAATTCCAGAACACTAATTCAGAAATAGCTTTTTTGAATGACCAGGATACCACAGCTTTCCAAACATCTGTTTTGCACATTTTAGTTTTCTGGTTATCATTTGTTAATATCCAAGTTGGTTGGTTATTGTGCCTTTGAAGTACTGTGTTTTGGGTGTGTCACAGTTTGTGCTTGATTGGTTGTGTTTGTTTGACAAGTAAATAGCCACACCCTTGTAAAGAACTTGATATTTATGCCTGCTGAACTTTGTAAATTCTCTGCCATGAGCCTATTAGCACGGTAAGGGGGCACAAGAGGGCGCTGTTTGATTTGGGTAAAAACTTTTGTGTGCTCCAAGTGACCTACTGTGTCTACCATGCTTCACAAAGCTACAAAAACTTGACCAATTCAGGTGTTAACCACTCACAAATCTTTGCAAATCCAACACTTGGCTCTGTGGGATTTTCATGGATTTAAGATGGCAGGGCTTGGATATTGGGGCACCATTCCTCAACGTAGGGCTTGATGATGCCTAAATTCTGTCAAAGTGAATTGAATATTCCATTTTGTTTGTTTGTTGGATTTGACAAGATTAGGAATGGTTTTTAGTGAAGTGGTTAAGTTCTGGATTCCCCCGAAGCGCAGTGGCTTGTTATTCCTAAACATTTCGGGAACATTAATTAATTGACAGTGAGGATGGGATGTTTACGCATTAGAAATGTTTGAACAAAAAAAGTTCCAAATCCATCTACAGATTTTCCCAAATGTGTAGACGGAGTTGCCCATTTTAGAGGTTTAACGTTTTGATTGACGCATTCTGGCGTTCATTTTTATTGTAAACGATGCCTGTAAAATGGAATCTGATTTTCACAACACTTTACTGCTCGGTCATATCAAAGGAATACCATGAATTCATCACCAGAACTTTAATGCAATTTGTTGTATTTAAAGTTTTCAATGACACCTTGGTAAGGCTAGGACGTTTACACATTTAAACAGTGTGGAAAAGTTTTCTAAATAGTTTTCATACTCTGAATTGACAGTAGGGCAGAATTGTAACAGCGAATCAAACTTCATTTACGTGCACCATTCACCTAGCATTAAAAAGAAAAACAAAGAGCAACAGACTTTATACTTAATTAAGCCAGTATTGCACTTAAATCACAATAGAAAGTAACAATTTTGAAGAATTCCATCCACTAAGATTTAAGCATTTATCAAACCTACTATTGAGATTAAGAAACTAACTTTTTTTATAATTTAAGGGCAACTGTTTTGTGTGATATTTTGTGTGTGTGGCATAAGAGCTAAGTGCAGCTTGTCTAATACCTTATGAAACTCGTGTTATTATCAAATAATTTCTTGTAATCCTTGAACTTTTGGCAGTTTCTTCACAAAAAGGGTGACAATTGGAGAGCATATGGATAGGTAATCAAAACAATAATAATTACAAGCAGTTATCCGCTCCGAGCAGAACAAAAGAGGGCGTGTTTTTTTAAGTACTCACTGCGTGGGCGCGCGTTTATAATGGGATCAATGGCGCGTTCGATGCGGAGCACGCTGAGTAACAAATTTGTTCCTTAATGTATGGTCTTTGTGTACACTCAGAACTCGTGCAAGAACCCGCTTGGAAAACTTAGTACCATCTGTCTTTCTTTTGCCGCTTGGGGGTGCACTTCAACTCGGGGCGGTTAGGAAGCCTGAAAATATTCAAGTTATGTTATTTGTGTAAGATACTGTATTCAATATGTGTTCATGTTCAAGGGTTGTAAAGGTTTTGTTGATTTTGGAATGTGACATATTTGACTCTGAAGATGACATTGATGGGGTCATCACAGGGTCATCATGAGGTCATCATGGGCTGGATTGACCCTGACCAACAGTGTTCAAACCCACACCAGACTAGATAGGAGCATCAGCAAACAAATCACCAAAGAATACACTGTATTCACGGAGGACCCAATTTCAGTCAGGTTCCCCAACGTAGTGTATTCATTGGAAAATGTTAAAGTTATAGAACCAGACTCTATTCTACAATTTTGTTCTGACCCCCCCCCCAAAAAACCCACCTGGTACCATCCCATTAAAGTTTTGAAATGTATACAGTATGCTCAGGAATACGACTGAAATTGGGTACCCTGCGAATACGGTCCATTGCTGAAAATTGGCTGAAGACAATATCTGACAGGTGAGTGACAAACTCAGCAACAAAGTTCACCGGAAAAAGCTGCCTTTAATTATGGAGGCTTTATACCAGCTAGTATTCAGAAAAAACATTAGTGGCTCAAAGTCAGCAACTAGTTGGGCTTCAAGTAAAGGGATGTGTTTCAGGTTCTTATCCTGATAGGGCCAGAGAAGTGTGAATTTTAGTCTAACAATTTAATGAAAAGGCCTGAAAACTGGTACCCGTACCCTTTGGACATGGATTGTGTTCCTGGATTTGTTGGTACCACACAGTGAATGCATTATGATGTCAGGTTTAGGTCCTCAAAGCTTGGTATGGTCCCAGGTTGGACTTCATAGATTCCATGGCTTTGGCGTCAGGGGTTATTTCTCCCAAATTGGGAGACCAACATGGTTGAGTTGGAAGAGTGCTGCTAAAAGTGTCTGGTGGTTGTGGTTTGGTAGAAATGCTGCCTCCTGCTAATTAGTCTCAGAAAAATGGTTCAGTTGTAAATAAGAGCATTGCTAATACAACATTCTGCTTATACAAAGAACATTTTAGGTCCTAATCCCTTGTTCTTCATTCCTGACAATATAGGATTCCTGTTATAACAAGGCAATCTGCAGTAGTCCAAAGGAACTCTTTTTAATGAGGTTCGACAGTAATTTTTTTTTCTGGATGAAAAGAACAATAAAGTAATGTGGCTTACATGACTGGGTTGAAAAGGAAGGGATGGCTTAAATCACTTGAAGTGTTTAACACAGCCAAACGTTTACCAATCTTGATAAGAGGTCAAAGGTCCTGACAAAAAGGGCTTGTTTACTGGTGGTATTTTCAAATGAATGCAGATGCTTATTTTCACACCTTTTGTTTAATCTTGTTAATGTATTTGGAAGTACGTTACTGTGATTTATTATTGGTTAGTTAGTGAATTTGATTACAATTTAGTTGGTCATTCAACATGAAGAAGTCACAGTTTAATACACAGCGATTTCATAGTTGAAAATCACTGTAGTGTTGTAGTTCATGGGTAGGTCGTGGAAATATACTCCCCAAAACACAAAACATTGATTTGATGGCAAGTTTATCTGTGGTATTTTACCTGTGTACAGTGTTGCAGGTACAATTACAAGTTATGCACAGATCTGTTCCTTTGTCCCTTCAGATATTTTGACATTTTCTTTGTTGAGTTTAATTCTCTGCGACATCAGTTCATGATTTGTTGCACTAGAGTGACTAGGGTGCAGTCCCCAGAAGTAACTTGTCCAAAATATTCCTAGTGGATAAAGAAATGAGACCTTCATATCAGTGCAATTATTGTGTAAAGGTTTTGTTTTTTGTTCATCATTTTTTCATTTTTCTCTCATATTCATGGATGAAATTTATTGGTCATAAGACTGTTGTAGCTGTAACCTTTAACCAGGCATTTTGTTGAATGATTTTTTTATGCTCGGACCACTTTGTCACCTTGAGTCAGGCGTTCGTCCATTTCCAATTTTATTTTGTATATATAGGATGTGTATTCTTGTTTGTCAGTTGATTATCAGAACAAATGTAGTCTTGTATTTACTTCTAAAAAAGTATTTGTACCGATAGGATATAGATCCTTTAAATTATTGATTTATGCTGTTAAGAAATGAGCATTGGAAGGGTAAAAATGCAATGACTGAGAATAAATCCAAGTCACATTTCATGTAATTTTAACCGCTTGTGTTTGGAAGGTTTTAGTTTTTATTGTGGGCTGTTTTTGTCATTTTTTGTTTTATGAAATGATTATTGACATATTTCGACTTAAATAGACTTCATTGGGGATATTTCTTCACAAAGTAGAACCTATTGGTGTCAAGTCGACAGGCAGAATTCAAGAGGCTGCGTATTAGGAAGTGCGCCCTCTGTTGACATTTATTGCGAAGTATTTTAATAGAGGGCGTTTGTGTACCAACTAAAGGTCGAGTTCGGGCGGCCTGTTCTTGACACGGTTTTCGCATTCTCGAGCTCGAACGACGGGAACATGACCCAAGAACACTGTTCTCGGAACAGGTTCACACACCACCTCCTCGTCAGGGTTTTACACGATCACACGGGAAAACTCGTGAGATTTGATTTTTGAAAAGCTGCAAAACTATCGAGATGGCTTACAAAACTGGAGACAATGGAAAGTTTTGCACAATTAACATCAATAATTTTCCATGACAGATACGATTTTTAAAATGGAAAATTAGTTGGCTCAAACATTAACTCTCGAAGAATGTACAAGGATGCCGCCATGTTGCATGTTACTTGCATGCTACAAGTAACTAGTAGCGATAACCGGTTGTACGTTCCCAGCGTTCGAGCGGCCGACCCACAAACAACGTTACAAATCGATCCTGAACATACGAGAACAAGCCGCCCGAACTCAGCCAAAGGATACAGGCCATTGCCAGTAAATAGGCTGAAGACTGCTTCGCTTGCGCGGGCCAATCACAATTTGTATGCACTCAAATTCTCTACGAAATAGAGCATTTTGTGGCCCACAAGCAAGAAGTGTTGTAGAAAATACAGGTTTAGGCGGGCAAAGAGAATACCAGTTTGCGTTTGAGAGAGATTTGGAAGAAATCGGCGCCTGAAAACAGTCTATTTTTTCGAGAAGTGTAGGCATCAATATTTCAAAATGGCGAGGGGCTTCACGGCTGAATTTTAGCGGTGACCTTCCGTGGAAAAATCTTCAAAAGTCATTGGTCAATGAATAAAAATTTGAAAAGAAAATGAAAAACATACACTGGGCTTTAATTTTATGTGCATTTCGAACGCCTGAGAAACTCGTGAATATTTTTTCCTAATTTTTTGAAGTTCGGGTATTTATTTCTGTTGGCTATTGGCCTGGAACTTTCAGAGAGAGAGAAGTGCTAACTTCAGACTATGGAACCAAAATAGCTGTTTATCATATTTGCAGTGCAGCATGAACCACCATTTGGGTTCCAACAATTGAGGCACTCACGACGCAACTCTCTCTCTATAAACAACTCTGACCAACATTGTTTTGTTACCTTTACCCTGTTCAAGAGCATTTTCTTAGAAGACAAACCAAGGTACCGGTAATATATGCCCAGAAATGTTTTAGTAAATCAGGGGATTATTCACAGATAACTGTAGTCTGCACTGGGAAAATTAAAGGAGTATACTGCATGTATTTCATTTGAACTGAAAATGAAATTCAAACTGGCTTTTATCAGTTCATGTCATCACTAACCTGTGACCACCAATCAATTATCACATTGGGTCGAACTTTCGCATTGGCAAGTCAATCTTCTCTTGTATGCCTTTAATGGGCGACCCGAGATTCACCTATTATTAGGACATTTGCTTACGATGTTCGCACTATTCACTACCACGCTGCAGCATATACCATGGTGCTTTGCGTTTTGTTCCTCATAGGTCTACAATGAGGTATTCCAATACTTAACTTTGCCCCCGTCTAGGGATTCACATGATTTTGAAACTGTCTTGAAGACATTGGAAAGAACTTCAAAGACAGGTAATATCAGCTCAGCATGAGAAGTCAGAGAGTGTCACCGAAATCGAACTACGTGCAACAGAACCAAGTACCGAAGTGCTTCTTTTTAATTTGAACACTTTGTACCTGTAAGGCTGTATGGCGTGCAAAGCTAACATTTAATCCGCGTATACAAATATCTCTATTAATTAATAGAAATATCTCTATTCTGGGAATAAATGTTAACTTGGCACGTCTAAGACTAGAGATATCTGTGTACGCGGATTAAATGTTAGCTTTTGTTCACTGAATGTGAGGCCGATCGAGTATAATTTGCTACGTATGGCAAAACGCACCCTATGTGCTCGTGTGATTTCCAACCGCAGCCGTAACTTTCGGAAGCAGCCGTATTAGCTGCGCCCTCAGCGGTACGAATTGTACAAACAAGCTTTATGAGTAGTCTGGTTCCCTGCCCAAAGATTCCCTGACGACTCTTGAAAAAAAAATTAGGTCAGGCATCACCCACGGATAGAAATAGATATGACGCAAGGCTCAGGGGTCACAAGTTGAGAGCCCGGATGTTTTCATATTCATCAGTGGCAACATCTCAAAATGAGACCTTTCTCATATCCAGTGGGCAATACTGCATGTGTATCCCCACTGAAAGTATGTTTCAGGTACAAGCCTGATTGGGTAAGTCATATTCTGCATTTGGCTAAGGCGACCTTCGATTTCAGTGTATAAAGTCAAATATCGAGTGGTTAAGACGTCTGCACTAGTACTAG